AGCAATGGGCCCAAACATAGCAACGATTGTAATGTGGGTGCAGGATCCCGCAGTGTTTTGCTCTGTTGTTTATAAGATCACTATGTGTTGGTACTGACTCAATGGCACCTAACAACAACATTAAACAAAAATATCAAAATGTGAAGCTAGTTTTTCAACATATCCTCCATCTAGGTATATTCTTTTCTGAAAGTGGTGTTTCTATCCCTGTAACCATTCCCCGAAGAATTCTGCACTCTTCGATTTGTACCATGTCAAAACAGCAGTTTGGGCATCCACAAGGGACCGAACTTGGTTTCCTTTGAAATGTTCTTTGAGTTTTGGGAAACAAAAATATTTTGAAGGGCAATATCAGGGCTGTGTGGTATATGGGGTGAGGTTTCTCTATTAAATTCTCATAGGAGAGTCCTTACTATCCCCGAACTATGAGCAAATACATAGTCATAATGGAGAAAACTACATTCCTCAATGCAACTTTCTGGATCTTTTACTCGCCCATGCAGCTTTCCATTTTACAAGAAATTCTTCATGATAAGCTCCCATGATTGTCCTAGGTTTTCTGAAAAATATCTATGATGATTTTCCAATTGGATTCTTAAATAATTCCACCATAACTTTCTGAGCTGAACTCTCTGCTTTGAATTGAACAGACACAGTGTGACCTTGGGCAAATTTGACCTTGAAGAAAATGATGTAATTCTAATTCTCACTTTCCAGATCTGTAAAATGGAGAAAAGAGTGGTGGTAACATCATAGAGCTCTACTTAGGACTTGAGACAAAACACATGGGAAGCTTAGAACAATGTGTGGGACATGGTAACATTTCAGTTCAAGAATTATTAGCAATTATTATTGTTATTAATAATTAACAGAAATATTTTCTTTGAATCATACTGTTCTGCATCATTTTTACTCACTTATTAAAATCCACATGAATTTTTTTTCCTGTTATTTTAGACTCTACGCTTATAGCAATCATGATATATGAAGATCAAAACTTCAAATTTGTTTGTGAATAACTGCACAACAGATCTTTTTGTCTTCTTAGCCATTCCTAGTAGACAGATGATATAGTGAAAAAAAATATATATATATGGTCTTGAAGCTTGGCTTACACAAGATTTTGAATCCTGCCTCCCATAATTGCTGTAGACTTTTTCAAACATCTTTCTCTCTGAGAGTCTAAATTTTCCCTTCTGGAAAATGTATCTATAAGTACTTTCTTTGAAAGGATGCCATTACTATTAGAGATAATATATATTAAGTATACTAATAATTTTCCTTGAATCTTACATTCATTCTTTTTTTATTGAACATCTGCTTTGTCCAGGGACTGGGCAAAGCATGAAGATTCACAAATGAATAATCATAACCACTCTCCTGATGTGTTCAGACTGCTATGAGTTAAGAACATTGAAAAATGGAGCTACTAGAATAGGAAACACTTCAGTTGAGTCTTGAGGGATGAACAGGAGTTGGCTAAGTGAGGAGGAGAACAGGAGCTTTGCATAAATGACAAAGGAGACCTGGTGACCAACAGTTAAGCCCTTGATTGCTGATAGAAATGTTGGTGGTTCAAAACCACTGACCAGCTTGTGAAAGGAAGTTCTGGTGATATACTCTCATAAAGAGTACAGGCAAGAAAATGCAATGGGCAATTCTGCAATGTCACATGGGGTCATTATGAGTAAGATCTGACTTGATGCCACCTAACAATAGCGTATGTAAGAACTATTAAAACATACATAAAAGATGGATGTTCCTGACTTGCAAACATCCCTCAAAATGTTCACATCATAACTGAGGATAGGATCTCACTCTAGTTTGGACAAATGTTTGAAATGTAGAGAGCTAAGTGTTTCACTTTAGAGATCTGGAGTGAAGAAGATAGGCCTGTGAAGAATAAAGGTTTGTTGGAGGTTGAGTTGTCTCCTGGACACTTCCTACTATACAATACAGCCACTAATAGATGCCAGTGATCTAACTTGACATTTGCTTTCAGTTCAGCCAGAGTTTAGACTCTAGTCTAATAGTGAAACGTATTCTCCTTTAGTTGAAACTTCAAGCTGAAATAAACATTCTAGATCAAGTGACATTGTTTTTGCTTAAATTCCAGCAATCTGAAGACATTCTAGAAAAGGCTGGCTTTTCAATGGGGGAGTTTTTAGTTCTTACCCAAGAGAACCAGCTTCATCACGTTGCTAAGCTATAGCTGGTAGCTTGTTATGTGTGTGTGTTGGGGGATGGAGGAGGGTGAGAAGACAGATTTCATGTAGGAGAAACCACAAATTCCTTAACTTTTCCTTAAATCATTAGGACCTGGGCCCAGGGAAGCCCAACGCCTAGGAATGAACCCATTTTATGTCCCTTTCCATACTAAGTAGCTGCTCTTCTCCGGGAGCACATCTTTGCCTTGAACAGGGAATGAACATAGGGATAAATACGGCCATTTAAGCTTGTCACTTCCTCTCTTCCTTGCACTCTCCTGTGATTCAGTGGTGAAAGGTTGGATTTGCATAAGCTAAAAATGCTTGTGATGTGACTTCCAGTGTCCTTCATAGTGCTGTGGAAGACCTGAAAAGGTGCAAGGGCCGTGCCAAGTAAGACCCCTACCACCATCCACACAGTGGTATCTGGTACTCAAGTTAAGAGGCAGGCTCGGTCTGCACTGTTGGTAGAGGAACAGTGATGGGCCACTAGAAGTGTGCTTCCTCTTGCTTTTACATTCATGGGTGTGTATATGGTATATATGTGTGCGCCAGCCTTCTGGTGAAGGTCTGTTCTACATTTTTTTATTGGTTTTCCCTGGCTCATTTAATTTCAATTGGCCACTCCATTGTAGGGAGGTGTAATTGACCAGCACCTGTTTTTCAGTTAGGTGTTAACTGAAAGTGCATTTGCAGCGAAGTGCCACCCTTTCAAAGTGAATTCAGGGAAATAATCGAAGGTGGAGTGTATGCAGCAGACATGCTTTCTGAGCTACCATCTGTTTCTTTACACTGTCTTCAATAACCAGGGTATTAGATTTGGGAGAAACTGCAGAACTTTGGGGAAATCTGGAGAAAATATCAAGAGCCAGATGGCACCATGGGTGAAGACACCCCTTTTGAAGTTTCTATTCTTATAATCACAGAGAAAATGGGTTTTATTAACGTGATCATGCAAAGCTGTGTGGGGTCATCCTTAGGGGATTTACACTGTTATCGACTATTCTATATCTCTCAGAATAACCAAGGCTCTTGGCTGCCATGCTGGGGGAAGCTTGGGCAAGAAAAAAACGTATCAGACCAAAGTCAGTAGGACCACCAGCTTCCATCCTTACTTTCATAAATATTAAATAACCACAAGAAATAACACTGGATTTTCTATTTCTTCCTTTCTTGCTCACTTTTTGGCTTTGTTTAGGGTGAGGCATGAAAGTAGTAGAAAGGCAGAAAAGAATAATCTCTGTTTTTTTTTTTTTTTCTATTTTGCTAGAACACATCAGAATGATTATCTGCTGTTTCTTCCCTTTTCCTTTCCCTTTCTTCCAATAAAACCCAAAGCACAATGAACAAGTGAGCCAAGGTTTTAAATGCTCAAAGGTGAAATGACATCTTTTGGTGTCTGGGTGCATTTGACATTATGATGCAGTCTTGAGGACGGTATTTCTCAGGAAAGCCTGCACAGCTGTCGTAGCATCAACAGGCAAGGACCGAGTGTAACTGGCAGCATGTGGGGAAAATTTTGCTTGGAATACACTTTGGGGTTCAATTTACTTTGATGCTGTTCTCTGAAGGATCAAAATTGGTTCTTTATCTTTGACAAAGGGAAATGTGCACGCTCACGCTCTAAGAAATTGAACCACCCCAGGATGGGGGCGGCAAATGCAGTCCTTTGGGGAGAAATCTTTGTATAGTGGAAAAAACAAAAGCTTTGTAGACAGACAGATCTGGGTTCTAATCCTGTGTCTGCCATTTACTAGCCTTGTGAGGTTTGTCCATCTCATGGTAAACCCATGTGCAACAGAACGGAATGCTGTCCAGTCCTGGGCCGTCCCAGTGGTTGGATCAGACCATTGTGATGCAGAAGGTTTTCACTGGCTCGTTTTCGGAGGTAGATTGCTCAGACTTTCTTCTTGTTCGTCTTAGTCTGGAAGTTCTGTTGAAATCTGTGTAGCTTCATAGTAGCACATAACCCTTGATTGACAGATGGGTATTGGCTTGCATATGGTGGCTTGGCCTACATTTATTTTTGGGCTTCCCACATGGAAGGCAAGAATTCTACCACTGAGCCACCACTACCTCCGGATAGATAGTGTGGTTGTTGTTGTGAAGTGCTGCCGAGTCAGTTCCAACTCAGTGACCCTGTATAGGGTTTCTGAGGAGCGGCTGGTGAGTTTGAACTGGCGACTTTTTGGATCAAACCAACCTTATGCTGGAATTCTTATTCTACAGTGACATACCAGGACTCCTGATATGTAGTAAGATTACTAATAAATTCACTTATAACATTGTCTCAGGGGTGGGGTTGTAATGTTACAGTTTGAGGGGACAAGAATGTGTTGTGGCCTATGTTTTCTGGGGACAATCTGTGACATTAATTGTGTTCATCATATTCTTCAACCAAACTGTTATTTGACCTCAAATTTTTGCATCATCCTTAAGAGGTGTTCAGTGTCCCTTCAACAGTGAGTCCTAGTTCCAGTCTCCGTCCCCCAGACCCCTGGTAACCACTAATACACTTTGGTCTCTATATACTTGCAGTCTCCATATTTTTACCTACGTGGGGTTGTATAATGTTTGTCCTTTTATGGCTGACTTATTTCACTGAGCAGAATCTTTTCAAGGTTCATCCATGTTGCAGGCATCAGGACGGCATCTCTCTTGATGGATGAGTAATATTCCATTGTATGTAGGTAGCACATTTTGCTTTGAATGTGCTATGAGGTCACGTGAGATTTATAGTAGCTAAGGCCCTGACAGTTCCTCACCTCTCCCTCCTTTTCTTCTCTTTCTTAGAAATCATTATCGCCTGAATGCAGCTGCGACAGGCGGAGCCTCTGGGAAGTGCTATTACACCCTGACCTTCTCTGTCACCTTCCCACACAATGAGGATGTCTGCTACCTGGCCTACCACTATCCCTACACCTACACAGCTCTCATGGTAATGTCCTCATGGTAATAATGTCCACTTCACAGCATTTCCCTAGCAGGGATGACGCCTCCCTTAACACATCCGGGAGACATGGACATCCTAATGGAGGGATGTAGTCTGTCTCAAAGAGCAAGATTTTGTTGTTGTTAATGTGGTGGCTAGTCTCCATCCCTTGATAGAGCATGAGAAAGTGGCATGAAGCGCTCCTTGTATGCAGGTTGCATATGGGAGGAGGTGGCATTCTGTAGACCCAGTCTCCTTCCCTGGAAAGAGCAGGTGGATGAGATTTCTGGTGTGGTGCTGTTGGCTAATGCTCTGGATTGAAAAGTCCACTTGAGCTGGGAGGCCTGCAGTTCAAGTTCACCAGCTGCTCCTTGGAAACCCTATACAGGGTCCCTATGGGTCGCAACCCAACTCGACGGCACTTAACAACAACAACAACAACAAGAATAGCATGTAGTGCTCATTGAGTACGGGTGGTGGTAGCGTTGTGCCGTGGATCCGGTTCCGACCCATAGCGACCCTGTACAGGGTTTCCAAGGCTGTAAATCTTCACGGGAGCAGAAAGCCTCATCTTTCTCCCGCAGAACAGCTGGTAGTTTCGAACTGCTGACGTTGAGGTTCGCAGCCCGATTCATAACCGCTACGCTACCGGAGCTCCTTTTGAGTGCAGGAGGTAAGAGCATTTCCTAGAAAATTCAGCCAAGTCTTAGAAGAACGACCTGATGACTAGCTTCCAAAAAGTCACAACCATGAAAACCCTACGGGGCACAGTTGTACTCTGACATATACGGATGTGGCTGCCACGAGCCGTGACTGATGCTCTGACTAAAGGTGGTGGCGGTGGTGTTATCTCTGTAGAAGCTCCTGAGTGGCATAAACACTTAACGTGCTCACCTGCTAGCAGAAAGTTTGGATGTTTGAATGTACTCAGAGGTGTCGTAGAAGAAAGACTTCGTGACCTACTTCCAGGAAACACAGTTCTACTTTAACACACACGGGGTCACCACCATGAGTAAGAATCAATCGACTCAATAGCAACTGGTTCCTTTTTGTTGTTCTTTCTTTCTTTCTTTCTTTCTTTCTTTCTTTCTTTCTTTCTTTCTTTCTTTCTGTCTCTCTCTCTCTCTCTCTCTCTCTTTCTTTCTTTTTTTTCAAGCTTCAGTTATCAATTTAAGCATCAAGTAATCAGATTGGAGTGGGTGTATCAAGTTGAAATGGAGTGAAGCCATACAAACGCTCTCAGATGCTAAATGAAAAGATACCAAGGAGTTGAGAGGAGCGAAGCCGCAGACAACAGGTGATGGCTGGAAGCATTCCCTGGGTCTGGGAGCAAGCCGACACTTCAGCTTTCTAGGGGTTGCCATGGCCGTAAACTGAGTGGTAGTGGAATCCAGAGTGGACAATCCAAGGAGAAGAATAGAATGCTTTCTGAGTGGAACACCATGGACGTCCGCCCAGGCTAATAGTTCACCCTTCTAGGTTCCATTTAAGGGCTTGCAAAAGATTCCTCAGACAGGGTTCAGCAAACGGATTATTTAAACAGTGTAGTTTTCCATTATTTGAAGGAGTTGGCAAATTCTTTCCCCTAGCTATTTCATGGATATCCGGAGGATTAATGAACTACGTATCTTCTATAAAGCACTTTCATTATCTTGGTGAATGCAAAATGTTATTAGCATATTTATACTAAGATGTGTGTGAATGCATATATCACTTAGCCTGAAGGATGGGAATTTTCATTTGAAGTCTGATAGAGTGTTGGAAAAGATAATAACCAAGAGTATCTCTCCCTTCACAAGAAATGTTCAGGTGCAGATGAAAATGGTTCTCCATCGAGAAGGTAGATCTGAAACCACTTGGCTAACTACTTCATGAAAGTGCATCTGCCCTTCTCCCCATCTGTTGCCTTGCCTAAAGAGATATTTTTACTGTTTCCCAGATTGCAAAAGATGAACAACTAGTATTATTTGTGTATCACACTTAAAGAGTTGAAGAAATTGATCCAAGAAATGTGTATCATAAGCCATGCTGTAGCAAACCGTGTTTGTTACAAAACATGTTTGTTGCCTTTAGGGACACAGAACAGGCAAAACTCATGATCCCTCCAACAGCTGTTTTTATTGTTTCGACTGTGAAGCACTGCATATGAAAAGTGTTCTAGGGAAAAGAATTCTTTTTTGATTATATTTTGTCTTTCCCGGTGTGGGACTAGGCCTTTTTTTTTTTTTGCTTGTTAGACTATCTTGCACCCTGTTGAGATTCTTGGTAGCAGCTAGTACAAAACTTTAGAACTCAGGTATTCGGGGAGTTGTCTAATTCCTCCTTATCATGTATAGATGCAGAAACTCAGGCCTAGAAATCCTAGTGGTCTAACTAGTGGCCAAGAAGGGAACAGAGCACAGGTATTTGGCATCTATTTCTGTGGTTTTCCTATTTCAACGCAGATGAAGCTCAAAAGAATTTCTGATCTGGGGTCAAATCAGTGTTATTACATGCTAACACATACCATGTTGTTGTCAGCTAGTAGCTTAGGTTAAATTCTCTAGAGAAGAAAAACCAGTGAAATACACACACACGAAAGGATTTCAAAAAAGTTTATGGAAAACGCCATTATCTTTTAATTGAATGAACAGCTATTTTTTCCAGAAAGCGTTTGCCATACCCTCGTGTGTATGTGTGTGTGTGTGTGTGTGTTTCACTGGCTTTGCTTATATATATTTATAAAGAAAGAGAGAGGCTTATGGCAAGGAAATGGCTCATACAATAATTGAGGCCTGTGTGACTTCTCCCAGGAACTTTTTCCTCCAGTCTTGGATGGAGTCGCACATTCCATAAAGCACACTAGTCACTTTTAGTTTGGGACATGCAATATGTTTTCTGAGCCTTTGTATGTGTAAGAATGCATTGCTTCTGAGCAAAACCTGGGTTGGATGTAGGTTTATTGAATTGTAATTCTAACTTTGAAATTTTAAGTAGTACTTCATTTACTATGGCATCTAGATTGCAGAGGGAAGTATGAGGATGGGCCAAGAGTGATTCTGTGTATAGCTACATGCACATGCATGTAGGTTTATCTACATACACATACAAATACACACATACTATTCAGAGTATTCTAACTGTGGGGTTCAATTCCCTTTCTTCTCAATGAAAAGTAGTGATGTTGGGTTCAGATCACTAATGACAAGACTAGACATTGTCTTGAATGAAATCTACATATTCCTAAGAAAGGATATGGGGCAGGCAATGACACATCCTGTAGAGAAAAGTAATAGTGAAGGTCAATGGACTCCCAGGTATGGCTCCTTGGACCCAGTCACTCTTCCCAAGGAGTGCATGTGGTCATGAGAGGTAAGGCCGAGTCACCATGGTCATCTCTGCTTAAGAAATCCATCAGTTCTAGAGTTAATCAGTTCTAGGGTGTGTGTGTGTCATTGGAGACCCCTGGGGTATGTGACTGTGGCCTCTTCAATGCAGCTGCCTCTCATCAGTACCTACTATGCATCCCTCAAGGACCATTCATAATAGTCAAGTACAGAGATGTGATCTGACACACATGCTTCAATTGAATTCTCATTTATCTGGAATCTATTAAAAGCATACTCCTTAATCCAAATGTTGGCACCCCAAAACATCACCAGAACATCCGATTAATGAGATAAAGTTAAGCTTATTGTTTACCCTGGGATTTCAAACAGAATAATGGTTCCCCATAGATATCCATCTCCTAACTCCCCGAAACTGTCAATATATAATCATATATGCAAAAGAGACTTTGCATGTGACATAAATTAAGGATCTAAGATCCTGGTGTGGCACTGCGGGTTAATGAGCTGGACTGCAAAGTTATCTGAACCACAAGGTTGGCTGTTCAAACTCACCAGCTGCTCCTCAGAAACCCTATACAGGGTCACTGCGATATGCAGATGATACAACCTTGATCGCTGAAAGTGAAGAGGACTTGAAACATTTACTTATGAAGATTAAAGAGCACAGCCTTCGATATGGATTGCATCTCAATGTCAAGAAAACAAAAGTCCTCACCACTGGACCAATAAACAACATTCTTATCAATGGAGAAAGGATTGAAGTTGTCAAGGACTTCATTCTTCTTGGATCAAGTATCAACACTCGCGGAAGTAGCAGTCAAGAGATCAGACGACGTATTGCACTGGGCAAATCTGCTGCACAGGAACTTTTTAAAGTATTGAAGAGCAGAGATGTCAGCTTGAGGACTAGGGTGCGCCTGACCCAGGCCATTGTGTTTTCAATAGCCTCATATGGATGCGAAAGCTGGACAGTGAATAAAGAGGATCGTAGAAGAATTGATGCCTTTGAGTTGTGGTGTTGGAGGAGAATACTGAGGGTGCCATGGACTGCCAAAAGAACCAATAGATCTGTTTTGGAAGAAGTGCAGCCAGAGTGCTCCTTGGAGGCCAGGATGGCTAAGCTTCGTCTCTCCTACTTTGGACATGTAGTCCGGAGGAAACAATCGTTGGAGAAGGATGTCATGCTGGGTAGGGTGGAGGGTCAGAGAAAAAGAGGAAGACCTCCAACGAGATGGATCGGCCAGGTGGCATCATTGATGGACTCGGGGGTGGCAGCGGTGGTGAGGTTGGCCCAGGATCGAGCATTGTTTCGTTCTGCTGTGCATGGGGTCGCTATGAGTCGGTTCCGACTCGATGGCACCTGACAACAACAACAACATGGGTCAGAACCGACTCAACGACACTCAACAACAACAACAACAAGATGGGAGAAGATCCTGAATTATCAGAGTGAACCCAATGTAATCCTAAAGTTCCTTATAAATGAAAGAGGTAGACAGGAGACCCAAAATCAGAGACAGAGACAGTACAGGGAGGCAGAGGTCAGAGTGCCGCTACTACTGGCTGTGTAGATGGAGGAAGGAGCAGAATGTGGTGGATTCTAGAAACTGGACAAGTCCAGGAAATAAATTCTCCCCTGGAGAGTGCAGCTTGCCAGCACTTTGAGTTTTGCCTGAGTTCCGGAGCTGTGAGAGAACAGATTGGGTCACCTTAAGCTCCTATGTCTGTGATAGTTAGTTGTAGCATCAACAGGAAACAAATACATCCAGCAAGGGAGAATGCTATTTAGCAGTTTAAATAGTGCTCCCATAGTATCTCAGCGGGAGGCACCCAAAGCTAGGGTACTTACTGAGACTTTTAAAGTTGGTATTTTATCTGGCTTAAAGTTGTATTTTCCTGTGAGAACTTGATAAAGGTTGAATAACAATCATAATATGATTGTTTAGGATGAGTTGTTGTTGTTGTTTTAAAGTGCCATTGAATAGGTTCCAACTCATGGTGAGCCTGTTTAGGATTTCCAAGGATCAATCAATCAGCTGATGAGTTTGAAGCCCTGACCTTGGGGTTCAAACTGACCTTGCAGTCCAATGTATGATCCCGCAGTGCCACACAAGGACTCCATTAGGATGAGTTGTCCTTGTTGTTAAGCACAGTTGACTCGGTTCCAACTCATACAGACCCTGCAGAGGGTTTCCAAGGAGTGGCTGGTGAGCTTGAACGGCCAACCTTGTGGTTCAAACCGACCTTTAGTCCAGTGTATTAACCCACAGCGCCATACCAGGAATCCCATTAGGATGAGTAGAGGGGTTCAAAAAATCTTATATCAAAGTGTTGATTGATACTTTTCATTGAAGAATTCATTGGTCTTTGGAGATGTTTCTGGAATGAACTAATTTATATCTTTTATTTGCTTGCGGAAGGGTTTTTGGGATTAGTAAAATCATGCTGATGGAAAGAAGAGAATGATGCAGTCCTGTTAGAAAGTAAACTGTATGAAAGTAAATGACTTTGGCTCTCAATTGTGCCCCCAGGGCTCCTTTAGGTTCTCAATTGTAAAGCAAGATGTGATTTTCAGTTGCCCTTGAAATTAGCAAAAAGCACACAGACACATCTGGTAATATTTTCTTATATTGGGATGTTTCTTTTGCCTTGAAATACAAAAATATTTTGCTATGGTTTTGTTGTTGGTGTCGATGAGTCAATTCCAAGTAATAGAAACTCTGTATAGGGTTTCTGAGACTTTATATCTTAGGGGGATCAGAAAGCCTCAACTTTCTCCCAAGGAGCGGCTGATGGGCTCAAACTGTGAATGTTGTGATTCACAGTCCAGGGATTGATATTTATATGGAGCCTTCCCATTCCATATAAAAGAAATGTTTTTCTAGTTTCTTGATTGATTTGTTTTCTATTGCTGCTATAACAAATTGCCACACGTTTTCTATCCTTAACAATAAAGAATTATGATCTTACCGTTTGGTAGATTAGATGTTCAACATGGGTCTCACTGGGCCAAAACCCAGGATGTTGGCAGGGTTTGTTCCTTCTGGAGACCCTTGGGGAGAAACATTGTCTTTTCTTTCTCAACTTCCAGAGGCTGTCTGCATTTCTTGGCTCCTTACCCATTCCTATTCAAGCCAGCAATGGAAGGTTGAAGCTTTCTTATGCTGTTATCCCACTCATTCTCTGATTCTAAGGATTTATGATTGTGAGACTTGGTGGAGAAATGATTGACCAGTTGGCTGCTAACCAATAGGCTGGTGGTTACAGCAGGTGATCTGCTTCTGTAAAGATGACTGTCTAGGAAACACTATGGACTAGTTCTACTCTATCACTTGGGGTAGCATGAGTCAAAGTTGACTGGATGCACACACTACTAACATGACTAGCCTGAGTCCAGCTGAATAATGAAGGATAAGCTCCTCATCTCAAGGTCCTTAATCTTAAACACACTTGCAAAAGAGACCCTTATGCCATGGATGAAAACATACGGCATGAGTTCTGAAGATTAGGGTGTGAACAACTTTGAGGACCAGTATTTTACCTACCACACCAGTAGTAAGTCCTCTTTACATGTAAACTCTTTTTCTACCTTTTGAGGGCACTGCTCTCCTTTTATATGCTAAAATATTTTCATAGAATTGATATTTGCTTTTCTTTCATTTGTCTAGCAGGCTTGTAATTTGTCAACAAACAATAAGGGTAGTTTCCCCTTGGCCTTGTTAATATGTACTCAGTGGTTCTTAAGTTTTAGGTCGTAAGCTGAGAAGATAATTTTTTTTTTACACTTGTGCTCTGGAGGCCCAACCTTCCTGTCTTAAGTGTGAAGTCATTGTGTCTCCTCTGTCAGAGCATACAGTTGAAATGGAGAAAATATTTTTCATTCTTCATGCCTGAAGATATTTACAAAAATGTCTCCAGAGTCTATAAAGATTGTTGACTAACTGTCCAATGGCTATTCCATTTTTGTATATGTCTGTGTTTTATTTTTATTTTTCAGTGTGTATTTAAATGGAAAGGTCTGGGAAAAGTTAGTTGTTACCAGCTAATTGCTCTCTTGGAGTCCCTGGGTGGTTTAAATGGTTAATGGACTTGGATGCTAACTCAAAGATTGGAAGTTTGAGTTTAGCTAGAGGTGTCTTAGAAGAAAAGTTTGGCAATAATACACTTCAGAAAAACTCAGCTAAAAAATAACTGTGAAACAATGGAAATGTTTTTCCATCGAGAAGGTATATACTTTGACATACGTGGGGCTAGCACAGACAGAATTGACTCCGAGGCAATTTGTACTGATACTGTTGTTGTTGTTGAGTGTTGTAGAGTTGGTTCTGACTCCTAGCTACCCTGTGTTATGCATTCGAGGAGATTAGGGTGTGAACAACCACCAAGCTTGCAGTTCAATCTGACCTTGTGGTCAAGTGCTTATCCTACAGCATCACAACAGGACCCATTGGATTAATCGCTTTCTATATTCCTTCAACATGCTCACAAATCCTCCTTACATTATTTCGTTCTGAAAAACTGTCTTCTGCTTTGTCATGTTCCCAAGTTCTCTAGGAATGCTTGATCTTCATGGTAGCCACTTTTCCATATGCTGTGGCGATGGAAAGAATGCTTTGCTCATCTGCACTTTTGTTTTCACACATCTTGAAAACAGCTCTATTTCTGCATAAGAAACATGCAAGAATGATATTTCTTGTTTGGCATCATTGACCATCTAGGTAGCGATTACCCATTTCTGTTGGTTTGATTCTAACTTGTAGGGTTTTCAAGGCTATAAATGTTTATGGAAGTAGACTACAATATCCTTCTCTCATAGAATGGCTAGTGGGTTTTAATCCTGATTTTCAGTTAGAGGCTGACATTTCACCATTGTACCATCTGGGCTCCTTTGTTGTTGTTGCTAAGTGTCATTGAGTCAGTTCTGACTCACAGTGACCCTGTATAGGGTTTCCAAGACATACTGGTGGGTTTGAACTACCAACCTTTTGGTAAGCACTCCTTTATTTATCCTACAGTGCCACACTAGGACACCAGGACTAAAGGGCTTCTTAGTTAGCAATAACAAAACAAAACATACAACTCACTGCTATAGAGAAGATTCTAATTCATTGCAGTTATCACTTCATGCTAAGGATTGGGAAAACTAGGCTAACAAAAATATTTCTAAATGGTAAGGAGCTAATACAAATGTTAACTGTTGTTGCTAAAGTCTACTATTAGTATTACCAAAACTATTAATAATTTAGACATCTTTTTCATTTCTGCCATAGACTCATCTTGATATGCTGGAAAAAAGTGTCAACCCCAAACAGGTCTACTTCCGGCAGGAGACACTCTGCCAGACTTTGGGAGGGAATGCTTGTCCACTGGTGACAATCACAGCCATGCCCGAGTCAAGGAGCACTGATCATCTAGAGCAGTTCCGTAAGTAAAATGATGACCTTCTTCTTTGAAGATTTGACTAAGGATGTACTTTACAGCCTTGGAAACACTCTGTCCTTCTTAGCTCAAAAATTCTCTTAAAAATGGGAAACTCATTTATTTCTGTAGAAACACACTTCCAACCCTTCTTGGTGTGAAACAAAGGGTAAATATGAATGTCTCTTTCTTGGTAAAGGGAGAGAGAAAAAAAAAAAAAAGATTTTGCAGTGCAGGGAAGGTAGTAGTGACTCGTTGGAGTTGAGATAATTTACTACTGACAGTCACAACCTTTCCTAAAACAGGTGCAAGACTAAAACTAACCTCTAATCCAAGGGTTTTTCTTACCACCATTACATTATTATGACTGTCAGTCAAGATTTGGAAAGGATGGAAGTTGAACTTGAAATCCTCCCTGAAGATTCTTCTTGATAATCCGAAGACCCTTTGGAGCTGAAGAGCTGACATTGTGGAGGAGCATTTTGTCAATATCAACAACAAAAACACAGCAAGTGCCCCTAAATGTTCAAACCCTGCACACCAGTGTACTGTACATGTGAACTCTTGACAGTGTCTCCCAACACAGTTCCAGAGTTTCAACAACACACAGAAAGAGTAATGCTTTGAAATACCAACAAGTTTGGAACTTGGAAGGAAAGATTTGGGAATAAAATTGTAGCTAATTTATCCCCACAAGATACAGCCTCACCTGATGAAGTGATAACTGCATTTCGGTGACTCTTTGGTGATAAGGAATATAATTTCTCACACCTCATCAGCATCTGACAATGCATGCTTAACAAGCTGGCTAATCAACAACTGATTATCCCATCGGAATTAACGAGGCCCTAAAATGCTTTAATGAATAATAAGGGATTTTTTAAAAATTCTCCTATGTGTTATATGCATTTAAGAGCAATTTTCCTAACAGTCAGCGACTCCTCTGCACCACAGATGAGCAGTAGTTGGGAGTTAAAGATAGCAATTTGTTCACTGCAACCCTCACTGAACAATTGTTTATTTAAGAAAGTGCATCTCTGCAAGGCTGTGATTTGCAGGTTTCGTTTCTAAAGAGGAGGTGATGGGAATCCCGACGCAAAATGTTTTTCTCTTTATGCTGATGCCGGTGCTTTTGTTGATGATACAACTACAGAGATCTTTACTACTTTAAGAAGAAGATTTGAAATATGGTATAACCCCTAGGTAATTTGGCATGCTAGGAAATAATTCAATTTTTTAATAAAAAGAAACTAAAAGCAATTGAGAAAACATTATCACCTTATATGACTCAAAGGAAGCTTGTTTCTGGGTATTCTGTAAGACTGTTTTTGTTAAGTGCTGTTGAGTCATTTGAGACTCATAGCAACCTATGAGTATACATTTTTTTTTTTTCAAATGTATAGGGTTTTTCCAAGGAGTGCCTGTTGGGTTTGAACCACCAACCATGTGGTTAGCGGTCTAGTACTTATCTTACACAGCCACACCAGGACTCTGTAAGAGTGTTGTTATTAGGTGCCATTGAGTTGGAACCGACTCATAGCGACCCTATGCACAACAGAATGAAACACTGCCTGATCCTGGGCCAACTTCACTACTGTTGCCATGCTTGAGTCCATCGATGCTGCCATTTAGCCAATCCATCTCATTGGGGATCTTCCTTTTTTTCTCTGACCCTCCACTTTACCAAACATGATATCCTTCTGCAGCGAATGGTCCCTCCTGATAATATGTCTGAAGTATGAGAGACAAAGTTTGGCCATCCTGGCCTCCAAGGAGGCACTCTGGCTGCACTTCTTCCAAAATGGATCTATTGGTTCTTTTGGCAACGCATGGCACTTTCAATATTCTCTGCCAACACCATAACTCAAAAGCATCAATTCTTCTATGGTCTTCCTTATTCACTGTCCATCTTTTGCATGCATATGAGGTTATTGAAAATACCATGGCTTGGGTCAGGCACACTTTAGTCCTCAAGCTGACATGTTTGCTCTTCAGCACTTTAAAAAGGTCTTGTGCAGCAGATTTACCTAACGCAATACGTTGTTTGATTAGTTGTAATAAATTAATCTGTAAGATTAGTTGTAATAAATTAATACTCATGAATCATTACAATTTAAACATATGCTAATATGTCAGTTCGTGCTCCTCTAAAGAGTCCTGGTGTGGGGCTGTGGGTTAATGCGCCAGACTGCAAAGCCACTTGAACTGCAAGGTCGGTGGTTCAAGCTCACCAGCTGCTCCTTGGAAACACTATACAGGGTTGCTATGGGTTGGAACCGACTCAACGGCACTTAACAACAACGACGAAGAGTCCTAGTGTGGCGCTGTGGGATACAGCCCTGGACTGCAAGGTTAATTTGAACCACAAGGTCGGTGGTTCAAATCCATCAGCCAGTCCTTAGAAATCCTATATGTGGTTGCTATGAGTTGGAATCAACTCATTGGCACTTGACAACAACAACAGCAAAGAGGTATCCTGGGTAGGAGTAGGGAGGACTCCTATGATGGCCAGCTGAGCACTATTGAATTTTCTACTTGGCAGAGTGGACTTGCAAGTACCTTTCATGGTGTTGGAGCGTGAGGTTGTTACTAAGTGAAAGGACTAATGAAGGTGGGATCATGGCTGTGTCACCTGTATAGTTGAGCAAGTTCTGACCTTAGAAGAGCGTCACACTGTAGTGCTCTACTGTCTCCATCTTATACTTTTTAACACATTTTGAACAAAGTCCTCAAAATTTCATATGGTCCTGAGTCTAAACAGATCATAAGTGGTAAAGTCTTTTATCCCTCCCAGGCTACCATCCTCTCTTTTCAAGCCCTGTAAGAAGAGTTCCAAACTCTTTTTCCAACTTACTTGCATGAATTATGTAGCTGCTTGTTACTTTTTATACTGTGGGTTGATATCAGGACCCCGATTTTACAGATGAAGCGAGTGAGATTTTGTTGTTGTTAGGTGCCATCGAGTTGGTACTGACTCATGGAGACCCTATGCACAAAGAAACACTACCTGGTCCTATGCCAACCTCACAATCATTTGAGCCCATTGCTGTTGCCACTGTGCTAATCCATCTCGTTTGGGATCTTCCTCTCTTTCTTCGACCCTTCACTTGGCTATACATGATATTCTTCTTCAAGAATTGGTTCTTCCTGATAATATGTCCAAAGTATGAGAGAAATCTCGCCATCCTGGCTTCCAAGGAGCACTATGGCTG